CAAAACAATGCTACTGTTAGTTCAAAAGGAAAAGAGCAGGCATGGTCAACAAAAGGGTCAAAGAGCAACAATGCTACTGTTTTGGTCATCCCCAACAAAACCAAACATTTTTTATTCAAAAAGGACAACAGTTATGCTGCTTTGGTCATCCCACAAGACCCAAACATTTTCTATTCAAAAAAGACAACCAATGTTGTTGGTTTTGATCATCCCCACAAGAAGCTAACATTTAATACTCGAAAAAGACCAGTTACGAAAAGGACAGAATCGAAAATGACAACAACTCATCGTATTTCGGTTGGGATTCATTTGGTCCTCGCACATGTCCCACCATGCTTCTTTGGTGTAAAGCGACCTGACCTGGAAAAACAACAACATCGCCTTTGTTTAGTATAAAAGAAAAGCAGAAAACCCTCCAAAGGCAACTTCCAAATCGTCCCTTTTCTCTGTCCCTTCTATTGTCTTTTATCCAGCCTTTGCATGCGATGCCGAACCCTAAATAAAACACCACAAACTCATCTTTACAATCAAACTGATAGAAAGAGAAGCTTCGTCTGGATCTGGGTCTCCGTCGAGCACAAATCATCGAAGAGAACAGAGTTGTGGCGGATTAGGGTTTTAAGTAGAATGAAACAGAGGTAGAAGATTAAAAGCGATGAAGAAGAAAAGGAGAGGTGATGTCGTCGAGGTGGGGTGGAGTGGCTAGCTCCATCGCCGCTCCTTGATATCGGAAGAAATTTACAGACAAGGGAAGAGGAAGGGTTCGAGGAGGAAGGAGATGGGTTGAAACGAATGGCCACTCTTTTTCTTCTTTCAGTTGTTAAACCCTTTTTTTTACGTGGTTTAATCTTAGGTCTAACCGCCTCATGGGTTGGGTTCACAGGTTTGGTTGGGGGATCTGACATGGCGGGTAAAAGTGACGTGGCGGGTCGGGTTCTTTTTTTTCCGGTTAAATCACGCTTACTCGGCCACACTGTAAGCCACGTCAGCAAATAACGGACTCCGTTAACAGAGACTGCCGGAGATTAACGGAGAGTGACCAATCGTGAACCATTAAGCACTTTCAGTGACCAGGGATATAATAAAATTCTTTCAGTGACCAAACGTGAATATTTTAGCACTTTCAGTGACCAAACTTGCAATTTACCCATTAGTTGTCTAATTGGAATTTGGGCTTTGCTAGAGCCTAGATGTAGCAAATCTCCTCTGATTTAATTTTCGATCGATGGTAACAAGTACAGACTTTTCATTTTCAAGACCATGATTCATGCTCAAGTCAGGCGCTTTTATTGGATGGAAAATATGAAAGCCCACTCGAGAGATGATGAAACTAACCGAAAGAACCCAGAAACAAGGACAAAAAACTTGCAGAAGACAAGGGTAAATTTGTATTTCCCCAAAATGGATCATCCGCATTTCTCCATATATGAGTCCATTCCAAACGATACATTGTGGGCAGATTTACTCATCAAATTGATTCATTTTCTAAAATGAGTCTTTTGGTTCAAATTGACTCATTTTGAAAATGACTCATCCAAACGACCCCTTAGATTTTCTGCATGAAATCTTCTAAAGTTGTATTAATAGAGATAAGGTAAAATCTGCTTGTCAATTGAATTATAATGACAAACAGTTCAAAGCACATAATTTGATTGATATGTCTCATACACGTGATAATAAATGAGCCATTTGAAAGAATGTCACTAGCGAATGTTCGGTTTCGCACCTTAAACGAGATTGTGGTAGTAGGCAATGTGCTAGATATCAATTGTCAAAGGGTTTTGGCTGAAGCCAAGCTAACCAACTGATTTTGTTTCTACATCTAGAACTAGGATTGTCAAACCTAGTTGTTTGATTCCTGTCTTACTCTCATTGCCTCACAGTCGCTCGGGAGACCTTATAACTCACAAGTTGGCACAAGTATGTGCAGAGATGGGTCTCAACGACCTCGTTATCTCCGGAACTCATGTTCAATATTAGAGAAAGAGAGCAGGAGTGTGCACCAAAGAAATGAGCTAGGGCGACTTTTTATAGGTGTCTCGAAATTCTTTAAAAGATAAAAAGTGGGTACGCTTTATCTCCCTGAAATTTTTACTATTATATCACTATTTGTCGCTTTGTGGAGAGGGGGATTGTGCTCTCCGTAGGATGGGTGGTCGCGGCTGCCGGAATACCTTCGATTGGTTCGGATCCTCAATAAATTATGCCTCTGCCCTGTTAAACGAGCGCACACGCTTTTCATACGCATGTTCCAGTTCGCCCCTACTACAAACCCTGCAGCGAAGAGTGTTCTTTTTGGCTCTGAGAGTACGTAAATTTATTTTTTCTTTTGTGATTTTTTTAAATGGGTGCTGAAATATAATTTAATTTCATATGTTTTTATAGATGGGTGCTGAGATATACGACCCTCAATTGTATATCGATCCTGGCTCAAGGGATCGAAGGTATTTAACCAGGCAAGATCAACATCGCTCTCGTGCAATTTGGGACAATAATCCGGTGGACACTCCTCACCGTTTTTTTAAAATTATTTCATTAGTTTAAAAGTTTTTATTTTGCTTTCTATTGACCAACAACATTGTGTTTTTTGTTTTGTAGGAATCACTTATTCCCATCAGTCATCGAGGAACATGTCGATTGCCCCGTTGGCATGCTCGACTAGCGCCCTATCTAGAGAGGACGGGATTGCACATGCTGAGGCACTTCATGAGGCTTGATATCGACAACGATCTGCTGACGACAATGGCAGAGCGATGGCGCCCCGAGCTACATTCTCTTCATATATGCAGCCCGAAGTTGCCACATACAACTCTTTCCAGCATTCTTACAAATGACATGTAGTTGTTTGGTGTCAGAATATTTTACCTTCCATTCGAAGTTGCGCCGCATGGCTTCTTCGCTAAAAGCATCTTGAACATCGATTTTCGAAGTGAACGCCATACCCACTTCCAAATTAGCAGACGGATTATACACAGGCATGAGCCGAAAGTCAGGGGCATCGTTCTGACCATATAAAAATTGAGATGGAACCTCTGTGTAGTAAGGCGTTGGTGCCTCACGGAACGCCACCTCTCTGTCGTCGATCTCGTTCGTATCTTCCTCCTCACTGACTGATCTCAAATCTTCCTCACTTTCATCGTCACTGGAGGCGAATGGATAGCTCAGCTCAGGAGGATCATAGTTACCAGCATAACCAACATCGTCTTCTTGGTCATGCGAAGTACGCCCAGATCGAAGGGTGTTCTCAATGTCAGCCCACTCTGGCCCCAAGCAGGCCATTGATCACCATCGGGCAGAACGATATCGACGGCAGTCTCAGCATGTTGCAGGTATTCTTCCCACCCAACACCTCCTGCAGAACTACCTTCTCCGTAGTTGCTTGAAGTACCACCCCAACCATACCCTCCTGCAGAAGTACCTCCTCCGTAGTTACTTGAACTACCACCCCAGCCATACCATCCTGCAAAATCATCATCACAAGAATACTGGTGAGAATGAGATTCACCGACCGGCTCGGTCTCGACATACACCTCTGCAAGCCGCACCCCGTTGTCAGATAGGAACTGTATCATCATGTTCACCGCGTCATCATTATTTATGACAACTTTTTCGTACATTATTCCATCAGCACTCATATTTGGATACGGTAAGTAATTTGACCAACTCTTCTTTGCCCGCCCATACAAGTCCTTTCTGCACAAATGTCACGGAGTTCTTGCCACGAGAATCTCGACTCAATTTTTAGCATAGTGGATTCGCCATTTTCATAGTCGATCCCAATGTCCGAGTTTGTAACCCGACCATTCCACCGAATAATAAGCCGAAACTTCTTAAATTTAATCATGTCTGTAATTTATAATAAATAACTATTAGCTTAACTCGAATAAGATTAGTATAGTATATAATTAGTACATTAGGGATACAAAAATAATATCATCCAAACCCATAAACAACCGCAACTAATTGATCTATCATGAGAAAACTAAACAAATTCATCTAAATTCTTAACTAACTAACATCAATCATACCATAATTAATCTAAATATCTCTAACATAACATATTTGCCAATAACCGCAATTCACTAAATACATATATATAATTACTAATACATCAACATGTAAACAATACATAATTATAACATACCGAATCCCGATGAGTTTCTTGTTGTTGTAAACCAACTCCAAACCAGCTGAGAAAATGACAAAAAAATCACTAATTTTTGTACTAATTTGCTGTAAGGCAGCTGGAGGGACGTGAGGGTTGGGTTTTTATAAGGAAATATACAGGCTAATCACCGCAGTGGATAATTGTGGTGAACACATCACCGCTTTTGACCAAAACGGTGATAACTAGGTCGTTGTGACCTAATTTTCCACCTACCAGGGTTCTAAAACGTGGTAAAATATCACCGTTTTGGAGAAAGGCGGTGATAGTATCACCGTTATAAAGGAACGCGGTGATGCTTAAACTGTCTTCAACTACGGTGATGAATACATAACCGATGTTCTTCTAAACGGTGATACCTTCACCGTTGTGCTTAATCACTATCTTCGTCAAAGACAGTGATGAACAAACTTTGGGAAATAATTTTATAAGTACTGTATTTTGGAAAAAACAAATTAATAATTAGTGTATTCGGAGTCTTTTTCCTCTTTTTTGTGGTATGCCTATCTTCCTTGTTTCTATAGTTTGTGGCCGTTATCTCTCTCACCGAGTTTGTAAACTAGAATGTGAGTCATGTGCCGCTCTATCCTTTCTTTGGATACCTTTTTCTTTGTGCATCTTCTCCAATGGCGTCTAAGTTGTAACATACTGCCATGTTGATCTCACCGTGCAACACTTGAATCGACAAGGTTGTGACTCTAGGAGCCCCGACTACCCTTCCCTTCGGGCCCTAACCTTCGACCCTCTAGGTTTCATCTCAGGTTGCTTCCCTGCTGCTAAGGCTGCGGATTGGATTTATAAACTGATATTGATTGCTTTTATTGTTTTTTTGCTTATCTCAGTCACCGAGCATCGAGCCCACAATGGAGGAATTCCTCAGGTGGTGGAAAGATAGGCGGATGCCAATTCCTCGGGTGAGGGTGCTTGCTGTCCCTATTGATGATCGTGCAAACGACCCAATTTGTTCTGAATAAGCTTCTTCTTGGGGCTTTCAAGTTCATATTTTTAGTGGCTTCAATTCTTTTGTTGGTTCTAGGGACTTTGTGCTTCATTGTTGTGATTATCTTCTCTTATACCTTTGCATGTTTGAGATTTCCCATTCTCTACAGATATTTGGCCGTTGCAAGATAGCATGGTGAGTTACTGCCGACTCAATTTGAGGATTGCAGTTTTTTTAAAATTACTTTCCTTGGTTTTGTACTTACCCCAGCCTTCATATGCAACAGATTGAGATTTCCAATCCTCTTAATGGATCCTTTTGTGTCAATAGCCAATTTTTGTGAAGGTGCTGCTCACCCTGAAGATGATGATATTGCTGGTTTGCATATATTCAAGAAGAGCAGATCGGTGGAGTATGTCATCTTGGTGATAAATGGTCTCATTTCGAGTCATGTGTACAGTCATGAGAAACTATCTTGGTAATCTGCTCACTCTTGGTTTAATTATTTTTTATATCAATCATGCTCTTTGCTTAGATGTACAACCAAAGGCAATGCAAGTTTGAGGTCAGTCGACATTGCACCTGCAGAGAACGCCAATGATGGTTTTTCTAATTCGTGGAAAGTTTGTGTTTCTGCTTTGGTACGAGCTGAAGTGAATTTTTCAGATGCAGGTGAAGTAGAAGGCATTGGTGCAAAGAAGAGGTTGTTCGTAGAAGCTATCTACCAAGCCCTACATGATCTCTTTTGATTTATATTGCGACTGAGAACTGAGAAGGGGAAAGGGTATCCTCCTGCTGAGGCTGATGCTTATAAAATGCATGGCGAGTCCAGTTGTCTGATATGTGACTCAATTTCATATATCACATATTCATATATATCTTTTAAGTATATGGTGATTTTTCATGCTATTTTCCTAGCAATCTTCAGATTTTTATGCTTGGAAGACCTTATTAGAAGACCGTCAAATATCTCTCTTATGAACTGTTCTTTCAAGAGTGGTGAAGTTTGCTAACAGGGCAGCTTTTCAAGCTGAAATCCTTTACCCTTCCATACACACGATACTTTGCTGAATCATTAGTCAAAGAAGCTGAGGCGGACAACAAGATAGTAGCTATTCATGCTGAATGGGTGGCGGGACTGTTCTCAACTATTTCTAAAAGAAGTTCCCTATGACCTATCGATGCTTTGAAGTGGGGATCACCGAGCAACATGCTGTCACCTTTGCAGCTAGGTTACCTGCTGAAGGTCTCAAGCCATTCTGTGCTATTTACTCATCTTTCCTCCAAAGGGAATATTATTGTGATAATTATTTGTTGTAGGTCCGCCAACCAAACTTCCAATACTCCTAAATTCAGACCACCGACAATAATACAACGAACTCAGTTTGCCATCAACTGAACTGCCTACCACATGATCATGCTATAAAAAATTTAGAGCTCGCGGCGTAACCGTGGGTATAGATTCTAGTGAATGTTGAGAAGGGAGTTCGGTCTAGAAGCCTAAAGAGAGGAAGACATAGAGCCATTTCAGAGAAAATGCAAATACTCAGTCCGGCAAGAACCCCTCAATACGCAAAAACCACCTGCCCCATGGAACTGGTATTTCTACACTCATCTCTAAAATAGTGTTTGTGCCGGAAATGAATCGAATTAGGAAAAGACTAACCTAGCAGAACGGACACAAAATCTGTGCTAGCAATCAGCTAGTTCAATAGGGGGAAGTGTAGCTGAGTAGGAGAAATCCCAATATGACATATAATCACTGACCAAAACCAAAAACATTTACGGCTTTTTCTGGATTGCCTTGCCACAACGGATATGGCTGTGTAATACGGTATAATTTGGAAATTATCAAGTGATTTGCAATCTCCGCAGGCAGGAAAATGCTTCTGCTGCAAGTGAGGTCGCTGATGTATCGGTGCCACGTCATATACAACCACCTTATTCTTCTATGATTGATATAGAACACTGACTAGGCAGGATGGTTCAATCTGAAGATGCACTATCAGGCTGCTCAATTTCCACGGAGCTGCTGGAGGTTGAAGCTGCTGATCCGTCTCTCGGTGGAAGGTACGACCATGCTAGGGCTGCAGTGCCAAGAGTAATCGCAGCAGCGATTGAACCCCACACCCACCTTTGCCTCCTCTTCTGCACCTGCCTATTCCTTCGAGCCATTTCTACACAAGGAAACCAGCAGAATAGTAATCAACAAGTGCGCCATAACGATGCCAGAAAGAAGTCTCCAAAATCAAATGCAGATTGACATAAACTCTAGAGTAGAGAAGATCAGTTCCCATTAGATGGAAGGCAAACAGATTGGAGTATTCTTTCCATGGCGTGAGATGAAAATTGATTAGCAAGCTAACCAGTCATGCCATGCCACTAAGAACCATTCATTCAATTAGACTATCAATCCCCATCTGATTCAATTAGTTTGTCAAGTAATAAATTTCTCAATCAGATACACCGTCAAACTTTAGAATTTTATTTTAGTTGATGTCCACCCCATCTCCCCACCCACCTTCCTCTCTTACATTATCTTTCTCTATGCTTCCACCGATTTTTTTTTTTTTTTTTTTTTTGTAAAACTCTAGGAGCTTGTGCAAACATTTTAGTCATTTCGCACATATTTCAATAATTTCATCTACCCAACAAGTCAACAGATTTACTTGTTAAAAAAAAAATCCAAACACCCAGCTACTTCTACTATTTGCTTCAATGGACAAATCCTCCAAGTGCCAAGAATTACCTAGCTCCAAAATCAAATGCACAGATTGAAATAGAATTTAAAGTAGAACACAGCAGGCACCGAATTTCTTACCTACAGCTTCTTGATTCCTTTGAGACATTTCTCGATTCACAGCCTCATAATAACGAAGTCGGTCAACTAATCGTGCAATCTCAAAATTCTTCGCCTCTAGCTGTGCTTCCATCTCCACCTCCATCTCAGCTCTTGCAATGCCCCGTCCAATAGAGCTGGATACAAAGCGAACTACATCGAGCTGCTGGCACAGCTCCTCTGCAGGATCAGTAGTACTGTTTGGTTCATCACTCTCAGCCACATCAATGGGACAACGCGGAACAGTCAATCCTGCAAGAGCTAATTGTTGCCTGATTCTCTGCCATTGGCTTTCCACGGTTTTCAGTGCGTCCTCCGCTTGCCTACGCTTCTCTATCTCCATCAACAAACTCAATCTTGTTCCCCCTAGTTCAGATTGAAAATCATGGAGAGCAGACTGTATCCCACTTTCAGACGAAAGTTCTGAGATGATAAATAACCGGAAGTAAGTTCACTAGACAGATAGCCACACATGATAAGACCTCTATATGTGTATATGCATGCTCCTATCACTATGTTAAAACAGATTCCCAACTTAAGCAACCTTAAAAAGAACATGCAAAAGTAGACAAGATGGAAATTATATGAAGAACCAAAAAGAACAGCCACATTAGCAGAATAGACTGAACCCTTCACCATCCTAGAGAATGTCAGAATTCAGCTTGCGAAGGCAGTAAGTAATATAACGGAGAATATAGAAAGAAGAGCAGTGTACCTTCCCAAGCATCAAAAAACTCCGCCATTTGCACACTGCTATTTTGCATAGCAGAAGATCCAACATTATCTTCACTGTCGGTGTTGCTAGCATGACTCATTGATTCCTGTGGGTCAAAAAAGTCCTCAATATCGCTATCTCGTGCACCTGAACTATCATTGTCCTTCAGAATGCCATGCCTCAAGTTAGTACTTCCAGCTTTCCCATTACTCCTCGCTTTTGCACCCTCATGGTGACCATTGATTTGCAACGCTTTAGGAGACATATTGCGGATGCCATTAGGAAGCTCCTTTTCCTTGGAAATCTCAGGAATCACCGTCTTAAGTTCTGCTTTGTCAAAGTCCAAGCGAGCCAAAGCAGCAGGCTTCTCCCTAGCTACATCATCCACCTGAGATTCAGCACTCTTCGAGCTCCCCTCAGCTTCGTCTTTATCTAAGGCCTTTCTCTGAGATGCAATGTTATCTACAGAAGCGCTCTTCGAAAGACGTGGGCCCCTTCGCTTGTGGTTGATAATATAGGGTGAGGAGGTATAAGAAGTGGGAGAACTAGGAGGAACAGGAGTTGCTTCAGGAGTTGTATACAGTGAAGGGGTTAGCTGAGGGCGATGAGGACTCCTCTCTGTGATTGAGGTGCTGTTTCTCCTGTGCAACGAGGGACGAGGTGGAGGAGGTTTTGGCTTTGCAACTAGGTAGCCGCTGGGTGGAGTAGACTTGTCAACGGATTTAGAAGCTCCAGGTTCTAACAACCTGTCCAACGCTATAGCACTAAATGTAGGCATGGCTCTGCACCAACAAATAAACATAAGCAAAAAGAAACCATTAAATAGCTTCAACAATAAGAGAGATTGCTTGATGGGTTAGCCCTAGGCAGCCATAAGCTTCAAGCTCTACCTTGAAGTAGAGATGAATCAAGAAGGAGAAGCATAATAAATGGTGCAGCGCAGAGACATATCATGCCTCTTCTATCAAGACAAGAGGACAAACAAGGGAAGATAAAGCATTGAAGATGGATATCATATCAGCAGCTCCATCGAATACAAAGGAGAGACTGTAATGGAATCCAAGAGTGAAGAAACTTCAACTCTTTTCAGAAGAATTAAGGTCCTAACCCCGAAATTGACCCTCACCGCGCCTCCAGTTGGATCAATTACTTGACCAACACCACAGAATAGGTTTCGACTCATATATTGGAAAATTGCCCCAATCATCGAAGAGTCAGAACGACATATATATCGCCCTGTTGGATTCAACAGGCTGAAACCCTAAACCAACTCTTGAATGAGCTAAAGGATCAGCAATTAGATAAGACAGGCTCCAGAAACAAAATGAAATCCCGCGTCGTTGTAGCTATTCAAAAGACGGAGAATCATAACGGAGATTTCTCGAGCCCTACGCAATCAAGAAACTCAAATCCTAGGACCTAATTAAACAACCGTTTTCCAAGCAAACGATAGATTGACAACCTACAACACCATAGCGTTCGCCATGTTTTCTCTCTGTTTCAGCACACGCCAAAGCAAACACATGGTACGGAGGGGGGGAAAGAAGGTGAGAATTACCTGTCGAACGAAGAGCAGAAGAGAACGGAAGATGCAGGAGCGGTAACGGAGAGGCAAAGCGAAACAAGAGACGGAGGGGAGAGGAATCAGATACCGGAGAGCTCCGGCGAGATTGGAATTGGAGGGAGGAGGAGGAGATTCTGGAGGGAATAGAATAGAATAGAATAGAACAGCGTGAGATTTATTCGAACTGGAATTTGATTTTTCGGTTTGGGGTTACGAATTCAGACACGCGACTCTTCTTCTCGCCATGGTGTTGGCCGGCGCCAGAATTGAAACTGGAGGAAGAGAGAAATAAGCAAATATGAAAAGGGAGGAGGCGGCGACCTCTTCTCCAAGCGCTTTTCTTTATCGTAACGACCGCCCCGGTTCTTTCCTCTCGCCCACGCTCCGCCTGCCTTCTTTCTTTGCCTCGCTACAGTCCAGTCCAGATTCCGCCACTCGCTTCGCCGATTTATTTTCATTTTTTTATTTTTCTTTTGATTTTTTCTCGTTTTCCTCGATACTCTAATTTTAGGGCACACGAAAAGGCACGGAGAGCGTGATGATAATAAATAAATAATAATAATATAATAAAGTAATGAAATGTTCTCTAGGTTTTGATTTTTGAAGCTTATTTAATTTTGCTCCGTTTGGGTAGGGCACACGTAGGTGTACACGTCATTTTGGCGGGGTTTGAAAGTGAGAGAGGGACTGGGAGGCGAGAATCTCGTGGCCGTGGCTAGGCTTTCTGGTCAATTCCGGAATGGAGATTCTCTTCTCTTTTTTTTTTTTTTTTTTGTTAGAAATTGAAATGGAGATTCCGTTTGGTCTGCTTAATTTAATGATCCGTTCAACGGCGAGGCTTCGTGGCTGCCTCCAGTTGGTTGGGAGGGTGCAGGTAAAGACTAGAGTGTTTTCCTGACCGCATATATCGGATGAATTGAGGAGGTCGGTAAACTTGGAACATCTATGTGCTGATTTGGTGGTCTACAATTAAGGGAGGAGTACATCGCCAATAGTGTGATCATCACTTTGACTATAATATGTGCCTTTGTGGCATGATTTGTTAGAAATTTAACACGAAAAATAAAGGTTATCAATCTGGCTAAGTTCCAGACTAGGTTTAGACGTTCACGACATTGCTTCGTATAATTGTATTGCACACAGTAAACTATCAACCAACCGCTTTAAGGGTAAAAACAACCACTCTTCTTTCTCTGGCTCGTGAAAAATAGAGATATCTCAAAGACGCTCTATTTTTGTTTGAACTCTTGAATTGTGTGTTTAGAGGGTCTGTGAGTCCTATTATTTATAGGAGCATAAACCCTCGTTATTCGGGTCCAAATGTATACATTTTACTCCTCATTTCTTATTCGTTTAGCTTAGTATTTCATCTTTCCTCGACATATTTCACGCTAGGTTGTGCTTGTTTTGATACATTTCAGGTCCTAGCACTTGTGGAAGGGTCGAGGACGAGCTTTGGGATATTTGGAGGTCAAAAAGCGTAAAAACCGAAGAAAAGTCCGTAGTCCGTGACAATTGCCTCGTAACAGTGAAGTGAAGCGTCCTAGGAAACAGCCGCAGTTCACGGCCAGACAAGGCAGTTCACGTCTCTTAAGACCGTGAACATGGACCACAAACCGTGAACATCGAGCAATCCAACGAGGTTCGTGAAGTTACTGACGACAAGGCAGTTCACGGTCTCTAAGACCGTGAACTGTGGCCATAGACCTTGAACCCAGGCAGTGAAGCAATGCGTTTTGGACGACGCTGAGTTCACGGACGCGTTTAGGTGTTCACGGTCGTGAATTGGCCAACGCGTCCGTGAACTTATCGCTATCGAGCAAATATGAAGACAACAGCGGGGAGAGAGAAAGGGGGACTAGTTTTGGGGAGAAGAATTGATTCATTTCTCTAGGGGTTCAACCAAAACACCGAAGGGGAGTTCTAGTGAGAGAGAGAGAGCTAGAGTGATCTTGGAGCATCATTAGAGGCTTGAGTGGAAGATTCAAGCCTATACGAAGAAGAAGAAGATCTTGAGCTCAAATTTGTAATCCCTCTCTCTCTCTCTCTCTCTCTAGAAACTCACTCTTTTCTCTTGGGTGTTGTAGATCCCTAACTAATACTTTGTAATTACTTGTTTACATTGAATGATTGTCATTGGGTAGTGTTTAATTCAAGAATTGAGGTATTATTCATGTCGATTGTGCATGCTCGTGCTTGGCAATCTAAGGGTTGTGCATGTTTTGTGCTTAGCATTCTTAGGTTTGTACACTATGGTGCTTAGCAACCTAAAGATTGTGCATAGCACCATTAGGTTTGTGCATGTAGGTGCTAGCAATCTAATTAGCCACTTTAACCTAGGTTAATTTAGGGCAAACCTCAATGTTGAATTAAGCAAATTGGTTAAGCGTGATTAAGCCGTCCAAGCTTGAGTTGAGTGAGGGAGTAAGTCAACTACCGATTGTCTAAACCGAGAGGGTAGAGTGACACTGCCTTTCAAGCTTACCTTGGTTTAGCAATTGAGATTGTGGTCTCCGACCACATATGCATCCCTTTGCGGTTCGCGGTTACCAGTTTGCATCTAGGTTGGTTGTGATTAAGCCGCTCAAACTCCGGTTTGAGAAAGAGACCTAGGCAACCACTAGAGACTAGGATCGATCCTGTGACAAATCGATCTCTAGCGAATCCATCCCGTGACAAATGGATCGCTATTTGATCCTCCTAGCGGTTCCCCTAGACTTGGTGAGTGGATCGATCTCGTGACAAATCGATCGCTAGTGAACTGATGTCGTGACAGATTGATCACTAGTTGCTCAACCCCGAGGTTCACAACCACCTACGCCTCACGACTTCATTCAATCCAACGAGTCATGGTAGCTAGTTAAGGGGGAAGCAATTCCCGGGTGAAGCTCCCTTAGTTAGACTTTTCCTTTATTTACTTTTCCTTGCTAGTTTAGTTTGTAGTTTTCATAGTTTTAAGGGCTAATACCACTACAACACCCAAACTATTCCGAAAATGCCACTTGTGTCCTATTAGTTTTCAATATTCCATCTGTGTCCTGAACTATTTTTCTGTTAAAGTTAACTTCTTTTGACCGTTAATTTTTAACAGAAAGTCTAGTCAGCGTTGAAGTGGCACATGACGTGGAATTTTCATTTATTTTTATTTAATAAAATAATTAAAATAAAAAACAATGAAAAAAAATAAAAACTTTCCATCTCCACCATTCATCCCCTCGACCCTTTCTCCCCATTCACCTTTCCCCGCATCTGCTGCTACTCCACCCAACAACAACAGCACCATGCTCCAACAATCATCTCCGATTTCTTCATCGGATGGACTTTCCTCCTCACCCACGAGCGGGTCATGATGTGAGATGCAGATGCCCACAATGAATCATAGGCAAAGCTCGACGAATCCAGGGCGTAGGAGGGTTGATTTTTTTGGTTTCCAGGTTGTTCTATCGCTAGTAAATCAAGACGACAGGATCTGGGTTCGCAAGAAGCGAGGTCGCCGATATGGGGGTTCCTCGCAAGTGCGAGGGATTTGGGTTCCTCCATTGATTGGGCTACCCATACGCAACGCTAATGAAGAAGCTTACATCGCGCATAGATTGGAGCAGCTGGAGGAGGATCGGACCCCATGAAATCTGGATCTGATGATTGATTATGATTCCCTTTGCTTATGTTTTTTTCTGGGTTGGTGGGTTTCAGATACGATGAGGGAAGATTTTTGTCGTCCAAAGCAGGTGAATCGTGCGGAGGCGATGACGATGAAGAGCCGCGACAATTTTGTGGGTGTGAATCTGTTGTGGGCAGATGTTTTTTCTACCGATCTCGTTTGAATCGTACACATAGAACCATAGAGATTCTAGGTTATGGGTTCAAGTCAAGGAGGAAGACTGGTGGAGGGATAACATAGATTCTGGGTTGTTAGGGTCGGCCATGGCTGAGACTTTGACGGTGGCAATGATTATTTGGGACGATGGCGATTGAGATGAGAAATAGAGAAGGGCGACATAGAGGCGTTGGTGGTAAGGAGCGGAAGAAACTTGACGGTGGTTTCGATGGAGTTTTTCGGCAGAAGAAAATCGATAAAGATGCTTCGCCGTTGCCGGAAGAAGATGAAGAGCAGGAGCGGAAATTACATGTTTTTTAATTTTTAATTTCTTTATGTTTAGTTGTTATTTAATTTAAATTAAAAATGTGAGGTGTCAATGACTTGGCATTGCCATGTCAGCAAAAGTCAATGTTAAGTTGACCACCGTTTGGTCAACCGTTATCTTTAACGGTCAACGAAATTGTCAGGATACAAATGGCATAAAGTATAATAGTTCAGGACACAGATGGAATATTGAAAACAATAGGACACAAGTGGCATTTTCCGGATAGTTCGGGTGTTGTAGTGGTATTAGCCCTAGTTTTAACCCCAAAAGTTGTTTGCTAGATAACAACCTAACCGATTGAAGTAGGGGTACATGGATAAGCCCGGGTTGACAATTTAAATACTTGCTCTATACTGCACCCGGCTAGTATCCCTCTTTCGTGGGAAATAAGTCACGTATTATTTAGAAAGATAATTACTCCCGAAATCAAAATTGTCAAATATATTAGATAATTACTCAGTAATAATTGTCATTTTTTATTTCTTATCAATATAGATACTGAATAATTAATACAAAATTCTCGAAACAATTATAGTATCGATCAACGCTCACTCTAGGAAATGCGACCAATGGCAAGGAATGACAAAATAACTCATCACTATGGGAACCCAACCGAATTCATATCAATCTTTTTTAGGAAACTCTTACCAATATTATTTTTGGATGGGTTTTCCCCGAACCCATCGAGGAGGGTAATGGATTTGGTGATATTTTGGTATATTAAGTATCCACGCTGAACTCCCCTGAATATGTATGTTCTACACTCACTCACTTGAACACTTTATCCATTAATATCCCTCAAATATTATAATTATATCTTAAACCTCAAATCTTACTCATTTATTATCATTTTTACAAAAAATGTGACAAAGAAAATTCAATTAATATTGACATTCTAAAAAAATTAGATTATATCAAGAACTTTATATATATGTTGTTTAGGAATGGTATGGGTGAATTTTCCTGAACCACATATGGGTTGATTTTGGTATGTCATAGTACATCCTTTATAGTTTTGGTTATGGGGAATAGGGGTGAACAAAAACACCCGCAAACCGACCCACCCATCCAACCCGATCCAACCCACCCGTATTTATCGCTAAATCGAAGGTTTTGGGTTGGGTGAGGGTTTTCTTTTATACAACCCGCCTCTTTAGGGTTGGGTTTGGATTTTGGATTACACAACCCGTAGAACCCGACCCAACCCGTGTTCCAATTATTGGTATGAGTTCGTATCCAAAAAAATATTTATATCGTATATAGTCATACTTATGAGAAAATTAAGATATTTCGCCATGTTTTTCTCTTAAAGTCTCACTAATCTAATGCATTCTTCGACTTAAAGTTTAGACATATATTTAATATAGCTATGATTCACGTAATTTTTTTTCTTGTGTTAAATTTTAAAAGAATATCATATTATGAATGCGTTCATTTGTAACCTTTTTAGCCTATTTCAACAAATGTCGTGAAAAAAACTAGACATAAGTTGAAGTAAATCAAGTTTTATTAAAATTCAAACAATATTTGTGAATTTTGATACCTTTCACCTCGGTTTATTCGTTTGAATTTTTAATTTGTTATAAAATATTTTTATGATGTAGATAATTGCATATTTTGTGTTGGGTTGGGTTTTTACATAAAAATATCGCCAACCCGACCCAACCCAATTAGAAACAAACCGTAGGGTTTAGATTTTTTTGGGTGGGTTTGGGTTTAATATTTCCCAAACCGTAATGCATGGGTCGGGTGATTAAAATGCCTAAACCCGGACCACCCGACCCATGTACACCCCTAATGGGGAAGACTACAATTTTAGTAATGGGTTTGGTTACCTTCCCATGTGATCATGTCCTCCTGATCCACACCAAAATTATACATGAACCAGGTTCGATGTTTAAAGACTTGTCGACAAATCTAGGAGCATGAGGAAAATGATGAAAGAGTTCATATTGAACAACCTTTCAGTCGAAACCTTTCAATCCAAGCCACCCAGAAGCTCCCCCTCCCTCGCATGAAAACCATCCAAAGGAGAGGAGCCAAACAAACAAGTCTTGATGGCCTAAGCCTCCTTCTTTATTTAGGATTGCTAACATATCCCATGAGGCTTTAGCCTTCCTTGATCGGTCCCCATGCCAAAGGAAGTAGGAGCAAATCCTGTGTATGTGGTCAAGAACCTTCCTAGGAAAGATGAGGATTGACATCCATAACTGAATGATCGAGTAGATAACAGATGAGATAAGTCGTAGTCGACCCACATAAGAGAGTTTATTGGCCCTCCGGAGCGAATTCTTGAGTTATCTTATCAACAAAAACATCACATTCTCTACTCGTCAAGCTTCCTGACAATAATGACAGTCCTAAGTAGCAAACAGGGAGAATACCTTCTTTAAACCCATTGAGTGACAGAGCATTGTGTTTGTAAACAGAGGTTGCAACCCCCCCCCCCCCCCCTTTCCACCAAAGAAGATTACACTTATTAGGATTACAACTGAGACTAGAAAGATGATAAAACTGCTCTAGGATCTACTTTACATTAAGTAGAGCATCATCTGACCCTTCAACTAGGATCAATACATCGTCAGTGAAACTAAAATGTGTGAGATTAATAGCATTGTATTGCGGATGATAGGAGATATGGCAATTCTAAGTAGAAATATCTAACATTCTAGAGAGAGGTATAAGAGCCACTATGAAAAGGTATGGAGACAACATATTTCACTGTCTAACTCCTTTCTGGGTAGGGAAGTAGCCAGATAGGAATTCATGATTATTTACACTAAAAAAGGCTATGGTAAGACAGTCTTCACTCCATTTTAGAAAACCTTCTTCTTATAACTTTGAATCATTTATTGGGCCATAAGAATATTATAAAGTATGCTACATCCTTTGTTGTTTGAAGATTGATTGAGGCTAATAACACTAGGAAGCAGTAACTAAATTCTATTAGCTAGAACCTTTGTTATGATCTTATAAAGAATGTTGATACATGCAATAGGTCTGAAAAAAACAAACCTATCTGCATTTGGAACCTAAGGAGATAAACTGAGGAAGCAACATTAATATATTTGGGAAGCCTTCTAAGTTGAATGAACTCTTGAATAACGGCAACAATATCATTGCCAATATTAGCCTAGTTCTTCAAATAGAAATTTCCAGGCCAGCCATCAGGACCTAGTGCCTTCAAAGCATCTATAGAAAAAGAGCATAATTGATCTCAGCCTCAGAAACTAATCGACAAAGTCCTTGCCGCTCTAAAATATAGAGTTTTTTTTCTCATGAAAGGTTGAAGCAAAGTCACAGTTGTTGTGATTATCATATTCCTCTTCACTTAAATATTTTGATAAAATGTGACAAATTTGTGTGCTATCTTTTCAGTATCCGTGATTATCTCTCCAGACTCAAGAGTGACGCATCTAATTTACTTCCTGGCCATTCGAACCCTTTTTTTTAAAGAAAATATGTATCTAAGTCCCCTAGAGTCAACCATTGAATTCTTAAGTTCTATCTGTAGTAGCTTTCTTCCGTTTTCTTGTATTTATGGTAAGTTTCTACGACCCTCTTCCTTCCTTCAAAAGAATTCTCAGAAGGGTTAGTGAGGGCTACTAATTGTTTCTCTTTCAAAGTTTTACAAACCTACTTTACTCTACAAGCAATAGCAGAGAACTATGAGCAATCGAGTACCTTTAGCTCTAGTTTAAGAATCTTTGATTTGTTAAAAATCTGCTGAAGGAGAAGACCATTTCCAAGCTGCTCCCAAGCTTTCTTCAGAATCCATCTATAGCACTCTGACTGCATCCACAGTTCTCTTGGATCTGTCAGTCTCACCATAATCATGTCCAACTACGAGCTTTGGGGTTTTCTTTTTGGTGATTAGACCAAGTAAACAAAGGTCTTGAGTACTTTGATCAATTAAATCCATAGCTCTCACTCACATAAGTCCAACATACTTTTAGTAATATAGGAATTGTTAGAAGCCTCTACAGGGAGAAGTATAACATTGAAATCTCCACTAAGCATCCATGAGATACCCTTCACTTTCCATTTGCTCAGCTTAGTGTAAGTGATTCGGGTCCAATTGTACCCATTTTACCCTCATTTCTTGATAGTTTGACTTTGCATTTCATCATCTCTCGACCTTTTTATGCTAGGTCGTGCTATTTTTTATACATTTCAGGTCCTGGAACGTTTGAAAGGGTCGAGGACGAGTTTCGGGACAAGTGGAGTCAAAAAGCGCCAAAAAGTGAAGAAAGCGACCACGACAATTGCAACGTGGGCGTGAAATTTGCTGGGAACATGGAGGTTTTCCACCTAATGGGCTAGAAGATTGTCCAGTGACCGTGATGTCGAACCAAAACGGCACCAGTGACTTGCATTTTTGCCCGACATCACAGTTTGAACTCAAAGTCACGGTCGTGATATGCAGATCGTGAAAGGGAATATCGGGATTTATAAATAGAAAGTTGTTGGGAGAGAGAAAGGGAGGTTGGATCTTGGGTGAGGTTTAGATTTTCCGGGTTCCCTTATAGGGTTACATCTAAAGAAACCCCAAGGGTAAACCCTAGTGAGAAAAAGGTCTTCTTATTCACGATCTAGAGAGAGAAAGTGGTAAACAAGGAGAGAAGAAGAAGATTTGGGCTTAATTCAAGCTAGAGGAGTAAAGATTCTTACCTCTCAAGGAAGTTCTCATCAACAAGTAGGGAAGACAAGCATCCACCATGGTTCTTTCTCTCTTCTTTGTTGTATTCCTTTGCCTAGCAATGAAGTAGAGTTCCTCTTCACTTGGGTAGTGTGAACCCTAGCTTTTTCTATGTGAAAGATTGTATCGATTGAATG